ACGTTTGAGTCTAAGGTTTATTTTTTAGCACCTGGCGGCTCTTTTTGACTTCTCATCCGTAAATAATCTGCTCTTTCACGTGATTCAGTTTATTTTGAAAAGTCTCAACAGGATCTTGAGCTTTATTGTGAAAGGTTTATGTGGAACATAAACAAGCGGACACACGAGGGTGTTACCGTCGCTGTTGCTAACGACAACGCATAAAAACAGAAGCTTGTCCGTCTGTAGTGTGGTTATATAAAATATGAGGAATAGAGAACTTTAAGAAATTAATATAGCCACTACAGTGACCATCGAAACCATGAAAAAATATTGCCGTAAACAGTTTATTTTGCGACACCACGAAACAAACAATAGCGTAAAATGAAACGATAGACGTTTTTATATCGTCATCCGATATATATCCTTATATCGACCAGCCCTATCCTAGTGTCTGTTTATTTTAAAGTAACTGTTTCTGTTCACCTTCTGACCTAAACAAACAAACAAACAAAAAAAGCCTTGCTGAGGTTTTACAAGGTGACATTTACAACAGCAGCCCAGGCGTCTCCGTTCTCTTCCTAGCTTCACACTTTGGAGCCTACACAGAAAACATCACCCTGAGAGCTCAGGGGCAGCCACCCTGGGATTGTGACACTGGCTTAGTCATGTTGAAAAGCAAAGAGGCTTGAAGAGAGTGGAAGGTCATTTATGTAGAAAAACGCACAGCAGCAAGAGGCTCTTTATCTGTGTGAAGTGAGGCTGAAGACAAAATGCTGGGATTACATTTACACGAGAAAAACATTCTTAATCAGATCTAAAAAGTCAACTCATGCCCGAAGACATGATTAGGGAAGTCGGGTACCAGTGCGAGGTTCAATCAGAACTTATTTATCAAATCCTGGCACAATCCTGGCAGATCCTGACCAGAGTGCTAAGATTCTGCAGCTTGCAGAGAGGTGAGCAAAAGCAAACACAACTCAAGGTTGTTGTTTTTTTTTTTAAAAAAGAAGTGCCAGAACAAGAAGGTACTCGTGTGCTGATTCATACCAGCCTGCAGCTCGGTTAGAGGACAGCCATCTGCTGTCGCACTCCCCCGCTAAGAGCCTGTTATAGAAGGACAAGCCACGAATCATCAGGTACATGTTACATCCATATAGATTTACTGGAACTAACACTTCTACTACAGGAAGAGAAAACGGCGGGGCTGATGACAGCGCTGCCTCCACAGGTGCACGAGCTTTTCACTGCTCCGTAATGTGATTGGTCCTTTACAGAGCAGTTGAGCCCCCATGGCAGGATTGTGAAGGGCTGTCAAAACTATCCCGTCCACAGGCTTGCAAATCAGATTTCATGAGTTACGAAAAAAAAAAACCAACAAAAAGCTAATTTTATTTTCCATTTCCACTATAATGGAAAATGAGGACACTGATGCTAAAAATAAAGGATTCCACATTTATTAATTATTTCTTATTAAAGCTGTATTAATCAATATTTTTTCCCCTCTTAGGGCAGAGGAAATGTGCAAAGGTGCATTATGAAAAATCGTTTACAGTTACAACCCACTGAGAATGACTGAGGCTTTTTAGAACCTCTTATAGCCCAGATTGATATTCAAACTCCAGTACTTTGTTTTGCAAGTAGCTTATCAGACTCGCAAACAACACATGAGAGTGTTGGCTTGTTGATGAACACAGCAGAGCATCAAGCAGTTAAAAAGACCGATGGCAGAATTAAAAGGAAAGCACATGTTAGACTTGTATTCTTAAGGCTCAGCCAATTAGAGTAAAAATAGGACGGCAGCCTCCTTTTGAAATAAATTAGCGGTTGCCTGGTGACTGGGCTAATTTGTTTTTCGCTGCTCTCGCCGACTGAGAGCCAACCCGCCTCTAAACAAGACATCCCAACTCAGAGTAAGTGCAATCGCTCTCAGACAGATTGGTGACGGTTTGCAATCAATCTGAGTCAGATTCTTGTTACATTCCTCTGTGTTGTTGAGCGTCATCGTTTTGCAGACATGTAGCCATCCTCTTCTCTCTCATTCCATTTCAAATCTATGAGGTGCTGCTTGGACTGTGAATGAAAAAGTTAATGTCAATTTCTATATGTGAGCACAGCAACAGGTTTCCATCAGATGGCAACAGGCAGCTTTTACCAGTTTATCACAGTTAGTTACCGTGTTAACGCAAACAGATTGCATCTAACTGCCAACTTGATCCCATTCAATTACAAATACACAGCAGAACGATAGACCGACCCACTCTTATTGTTGTTTCGTTGCCATCTTCATGCATCAAAACGTGCTTTGAAGACAGGACCTGACTTTGAGTGGTTGTAGAACTGGTTCCTGTCATTGAAGCATTCATTTCAAAGACAGTGATATTGCACATTCATTGCGCACAGTCCCACTAGCTTTGATTGTGCATTAGTCTGCAAGAACTCTTTTCCCCCCCGAGTGTGACTGTAGCCTTAAATGTATGGCTAAAAACATGTCTCCTAAAGACAGTTACTGGTGCTCACTGAAATAAAAACAAGCAACTTTATAAGATCGAAATGTGTCAGTGATCTTCAACCTTTGATAAACTTTAAATTTCTACGAGCCAGTTCAAAATTCAACTCTAAGATAAAAGCCGAATTTTAAACTGCACTGAGATAAAATGTCTTCTTGATTTCACCATCTCAACTACTTCTCCCAAGAAAAACTATTTACTTGTCTCATCCAAAGTTATCCTTGGACCACTTCAGTCAAAAAAAAAAAAAAAAAAGATTGTTAGTTTGTCATCTGTTTTTCACTTTTCCATCTACTTGTCTAAGAAAAACGAGCTAATTTCAGAAGTAAGAACATGGATTTAAAAACCAATCTGAAGATATCACCTTGGCCTCGGGGAACGTTCGGGCAGGCAGGAGGATTAAAAAGATAAACTGGAAAATTACTCGTAAAAATTGAGCGGCGATGATTAGCTGTGGGCTTAATCAGAAAAGGAAACCTCACACCCCGCCTGATATTTACACATCCTGCAACCATACTGAAAAGCAGCACAGATATAATTAAACAAAGGTCTTAAGCAAGCATGACTTCCACTACTACTACTACAAAAAAGGATAACACAGCCGTCACGGATATCATATTTTATGTGCATGAAAAACGATCTCTGGTAAAACATGAGATACACCAGGTTTGACTGTTCCTGCAATTCCAGCATACATCACAGGATGCTAAACAGGACACAGTTACAGGCTGCTTGGTTTCTACAAAACACCGTGAAACTGCCTTAAGGCACTTGGGCTTCATCGTCTTTGATTCTCGACAGCGAACAAACAAAGTTCACAGACCCAGTCACCTCAGGTCCAGAATAAAAGCTGTGCAACAGCAAATTGTGTTTTGATGTCACATTTCTTATTGTGGTCCAGGAATCCGTGACATTGTACTTTCTTGCTTCAACAAAAAAAAAAAGCAGCCTTGGAAATATAAGCTGCCTCGCTCTCAGGTTTCCCTTCCGATGAATGGCGTAAATGTGAAGTATCGGCCTTTAACAGTCTATTAAATCTGATGATTTATTTGCTGGGTATTGTATGGCAATCCCTCACTTCTCGTCAAGAGAAGGTTACTTTATAGGAACCTGTGCTACCTCCTTAGGCCTTTCCTGCACTGGAGAGATTCCGGGACTTCACCTACAATAGCACGAAAACAATATGAAAAACACGAACGAAGCATTATCCTATAGCAAATTCCGTCCTCTCCGCTCCAGATTGGCTATCCCAGCATTAAACCCCATAGATACACCTTCTCAAGTAACCAAATACAGCGACATCTGGCCCATTAACGCATGCATCCTGTGCTTACGCGCGCCCAGGCAAACATGTGCACGCAAACTCATAAAGCCAAGCAGGGCAGATGCTCGCAAAGACACACACTTGTACACGTTCGTGTGACATATGAGCTAATCTCCCCACACATCAGCTAGCAGCCCACGGCAAGTCCCTTTAGGTCTCGAGTCGCTGATCTCTGAGTGGCTTTTTTGGTTCAACCCGCCCTCGTTACGAGGTCTTAAGTCGCAGAGAGCACCAAGACACTTGACTGTGTTAGCTCAGGAGGTTTAAACCAAAGACAAGCACATCATAACATCTCAGTCACGACGTCGCCAGATTTACAACCATATTATTTGGAACAACAGCGTGAGGCTTTCTCCAGAGGACTTGTGGCATTTTTTCTTGCAAGTAGTTAGCATTCAACTGCATAAATGACAGGATAGAGCGATCAGCAGAGTCCAGATGTTGGGAGTCTTCTTTTTTTCGTGTGTGTAAACACTTTCCACAAGCGTCTCTGTGAGCAATGAGCTGGTCAAAAATGCTCCGGGGGCAATTTCACTGAGGTTTAACAATAAAGCCAGCGACAAGCCATATTTGTCATCTTGCGGCCGGCGGTAATACACACTTGCAATTGACATAAACGACTCATTTCAAAGCAGCCGTTGTGAGCGATTCTGGTTGACAACCGTTCTATAAAAGCAACCTTTGTGATGCCGAGTTTTTCGATGGATCCCTCAAGTTGACCTCAGGGTGAGCTGGCCTTTCCACATCAAGTTCTGTTTAGAGGCGAAAGGAGGACGCTTCATGGCAGCTCTGTCGAAAGGGATTTATTTGCTGGGACGAGAGAAGTAAAAGACATCTTTTCCTCTCCCTCACTATCAGCCAGCAACAGTAAAGACAGACAGCCTCGCCTCAGGTTTATCTCGGCCTATCTGCAATGATGCCCTACTTGACATCGCCTATGTCGACTGGTAGAATCGTATCAGAGACGTTAACCGTCTGCAGGATTGACTTTCGGGAGCGCCAATAAAAGGCCAAAATGCTAATTCAGGTTCCATGCGTCACGCATTGCATTCAGCTTGAGCTCAGAGCTCAAACATACACAAAGATGGAGTTGGTGTTTCTCCCTCTTTATGGTGCAGACAGTCATTACATCAGTAGTTTCCCCCCCTCCCATTTACATGAAGCATTACAGAGGAGGACACACATACCTCTATTATTCTGTCGTGGATCTGAAGGCCTCCCTCTTTGTCTGCTGGACCTTTCTCCACAATCTTGGACACAAAGATTCCTTCATTCGAAGTGCTGTCGTTGTCGTCCTGCGGGAATAAATTGCAGGCATGTTCAGCGGATTAATGGAAGCACAGCGCTCACAGGGCTCGTTAAGGAAAGGAAAGCCTATAGAAGTCTCAATAAATCGCGCAATAAAAGTACTTTTAAAAAACACTGGAAACACTGGGTTTGGTTGTTGTGGGCAAAACCACATGAGCGTCTGTACAACGCTTTGCAAGCCTACAAAGTTGAAGGTTTAGTTCACCCAAATAACAAAGAAAAAAAAAATCCCAAGCAAACTATTGCTGCCACCCCTATAAATGACACAAACAACATTTAGTTTGGCCTTGAGATTTAAGGGAGATTTCCAGTGAATCCACAAAATTTTACTGGCAGCAGTTTCTTTTACTGGCAGCAGCAATTTCCAGGCAGATATCTCAAAATCAGGGCACACAGAAAACAAAAATATCTGGAAGGCTCAACAGCAACAAGACTAAGTGAAAAAATATGGCTTTTTGCAATTTGCGTGAAATGCCCTTTTAACCCTACCCTTGTGGACTCAGGGATAAGCTTTAACTTCACATGCTTCCCAGGCCTTAAAGGGTTGACCCTGGCCTACAGAAGGGCCTAAATGTTGACATGCGGACATGCTGTAGGGGCATGAAGTAGCCTACATCCGACTCTGTGGCCGTGACCCCAGAGTCAGAGCTAAGTCTGGGTTAACAGCTATGTTAGCACTCTCTTTAAAACCACATGTAAATGTGTACCGCACTCCTGCTGGGCTCTGTGACACAACTACATTTTACTAGGTACTTAAAGAAACCCCAGAAGTTACAGAACAGATGCTAATTAATAATTTCTGGTCTGCTTCCTCTTTCAGGGACATCGTGTACAGTGTTAGCACTGCAGTGCTTTTGCTGCAAGTTCCACAACATGCCTACTACTACTTTGCCTCACCGCTATCACATGAGCTGCAGACAAACAAGCTCATCTAGGAGACCACAAAACCTGGCAGTTGATTGCGCTCACCATGCCATACCAGTATAACAGCCACATGAAACACACATGTCAAAGGCTGCTAGGATATTAGCCACTTCCAATTCTAATGAGTAGCTTCTTACACCACCTGATGATTTGAGGCTCACTAGGAAAGCAAAAGCCAAGTATTATCTCCGCTGTCGTACAAGTTTGATGCATGGCTCTGTCACAGCGACTCCACGAGCGAATCTACGATTAAATGTCGATCTTTTTATAGCTTCCTGCTATAAAAAGTTTTACTGCGATAATCTATGTCACTGCTGAAAAGTGCGTCACTGTGGCTGTGGAAAACCAAGTCTGCAACAGTGGAAGTGAAACAGATACGGCGTTTCAATAAGACCTCGGCTGCAGAAAGAAGCTCCGTGTATGGGAGATGCCAGCGTTGAGATATTTTCCAACCCGTCACTCGGCAGAGCGCGTGGCATCATTAATGACTTTAACTTCAGGGGCCTCGAGGCAGAAAGCGGCTGAGAAAAGTTCAGTCTGGGTTTAAAAGACCCTTTCCTCTCCTCTGTGTTTACCTCACCACCAAAATCCCCTCAATTAGAGACAAAACAACTGTGGTGGAAGCCATAATCCCAGATTTAACTCCCATAAAAGTAATTATAGTTTTTTTTAATCTGTAATGCCAAATCCGCTAAACCAGACCAATATATAAACACAATAAACTTGATAGATGCGGTCCATCTATCCACAGTCAAAAAAAACAGAAAAACATGCACGACTGTCTAAGTTGCGGCAGTCAGCACAGAGGAGGCTTGTGGTACTTCCACTATTTGCCATTTGACACTTGGCTGATCACCGGGGAGGGGGTGGGGGAGATGGAACCTCCAAGTTGCTCAGCTTTCAACCTACCACGCATGGCCTTCCTCCTATGATGTTAAAACCCAGAGAGCCGCCCTCACGAAGAAGGACAACGGTCACGCTTTTAGTCTCGCCTTCCTACAAACAGACAGGAGAGACACACGTGAGCAAAGAGATGGCAGGAAGTTATTCAACATATACAACAACTCAATATTAATCTTAATTAACCTTTTTATTCTTTTAAATTAAAAGAGTGAAACTTTCAAAACACAGGGGCTATACTGTACCCGTATTTTGATAGCATCTGTCTAACTTTCAGGTTGTATTCACCAGCTACAACTGCTGCAAGCAAACAGATGTTCCTAATTCGCTGTGGTAGCCCAACAACAAAATAAGAAACTATTGACTGCTGTCAATAAACTCTCTTCATGCCGTGTTTGTCATTAACATCCAGCTAAGCATGGTTTCTTCAAAAGAAAATATTACTTGCTGCTCAAAATGGCCAAATACTCACTACATAACAGAAAGCAAACAAACACTGTTAGCTTAGTAGCCAGATCTTTTCAGCAGTTCCTTGAATCTTTTGGTTAGACATCTTTGCATATTACGGTACTGCTACTGCTGTGTAACTATTAAAGGAAATCTTATGTGTAAAAAGTTCAGCACATGGCCAAAAGAACCGGGCCGCCAACACATTACACCATGAAGCTCCCAGCGCACCATTTTTGTGCTGGTGTTAATGCCAGAGGACGTTTGGAACTCACCAACCTCGCTCTGTAATTTTACATAGTCTGCCACAGCTGCTGGAATATGCATGTCCATCAATCTGCATGTCAAAGTACCCTGAACCTCAAGCTGCCCCCAATGTGTCATCAAAGTGTGAGTGCGCGAATCTCAGGCTACATCCACACTAGCCCTCCGGTATCTTTGTTTAATTGGTCACATGACTCCATCATAGGGGTGGGGGAAAAAATCGATACTGTGTAGTAT